GGTACATCACCCCTACACAAAGAGGCAGTGGTTGCGCCAGAGGGCGAGGGGGCGCTGGGGGCTATATCCCCCTCGTTGGGGAAGTCTAGCCACCCGTCGGGAAAGACGAATACATTCCGTCGGGGAACAAAAAAAATAAAAAAAAATTTTTTACATGTTTGTTCGTTTAGCAACCATATCGCCTTCATTGACCTATTTGTGTACCGTTTGTGTTAACTTCTCATCACAATATTACAAAAACAACAACAACAACAATAATAATAATAATAATAATAATAATAATAATAATTTTCTAACCAATTTCATAACTATAATACTAGATTTTCGACTTCTATAATGACAATTTATAAACAAAAATCTGGTACACATAGTAGATTCTCATTCATCGATACCGCAATCGATGAATGGAATAAATTACCGTATAATGTTAAAAATTCACAATCCACACTTATACACTTTTGAAAAACTCATAAAAAGCCATTATTTATCTGAACTTTATTATACATGTAGCTTTATTTATATGATGTCTTTTTTGGATTATTGAATTTGACTTTGTTTGTTTTGATGCTATGCTATGCTATGTATTATTCTGTAATTTAAGTATTCTCATTTAGGGACCACAGTGGAAATAAGTTGCTTTTTTGTACTTTTCTGTGTTTTTATCCTTGAATGTATTTTACTTATAATTACTTCAGAATGAATAAATAAAAAATAAAAATAAAAAAATAATATAATAACATAAATTCACGTGCCGTTTTATTGTAAGTTATCCGAATACCGTATATATTACTTCTTCACAATGATTTAATTACATTCAAACATCTATTGGAACGTAAGTCAGCAGAACAGTGTTAAGTGTTAAAACAGCGTTTTGACACTATTTTTTAAATTTTATTTCAGTGCATATTAATGTTATGTATTGAAATAAAAAAAAATACAAATGCCCCGCCCCCAGTTTAAAAAATTCTGGATCCGCCCCTGTTCAATCGGACTAATTAAAAATGGTTTACGTTCTACAATTCAGTGACAAATGCTTGTTTGGATATCCTCATGATGCTTGGAATACATCTTGATCGGGAGCAACCTCGTGGTTTACAGATTTCAGGCAAAATTTCCAAAATTTATAACTTCACCTTGAATTAAAAGCTTGTACTGTGACGTTCCCGGTGACATTGTGTTTTCTTAATTCATCGTAGTATAATATTGTCACAAATTGGTGGCCTCACAATTTACATTAAGACATTATTCTTATTCGTATTTTTTTTTGTTAATAATTCACAATCACAATTATGAAAAACCTGGATTTCGCCATGATGGGAGGATAGTATTGTAATGTAAAAAAAGTGGTTTCTTTTTTAATAATATAAAATGGATTTGAAAATAGGTTAGTTGGTTACATTGCATACGTACTCTTTGTTTCTCGTTGTTTCATTTAAAAAAAAAATCGGTTTTGGAATTTCGACATTAAAAAACATACATGAAGTCATTACGGTAGCTTGATGCCTATCAAATAATTAATAAAAAATTACCAAAATTCGTCAAATATCCGTAGCTTCCAGGGGGCTGGACCCCCTGTGGCACCTAGGCGGCCACCCCTCCCCTGTCGGGGCCTTTATCCCCCCTGTTGGGCAGATCCTGGCGTCATCACTGCAAGCAGGACACTAGGCCGAAATTTAGGCCAACAATAACCCTGAAAGAGAATGACCTCACGGTTGACGCATCGTCCCTACTCTCTACTTCCCTCCCTTAGCGCCACATCATAATAGCGCCGTTCTCTTCATAGTAAATAATATTTGCGGTCCTGGTGGTTCTGTCCGACGTGCACCGCGCTGGTTATCCCTGGGAGGTAAAGGCCCTATGTTTATCCATCCACTTCTAATACCACAATGTTTGGTGAACAACAAAGGGTGATTCAAACATTAATATGTATTATAAAGGTTAGTGACCTGGCGAGATTTACATAAGGGACGTCTGTGTGTATTCCCCCAATGATTCAACTTCAAGCTCAAGATCTCTCAAAATCGAACACTTACTATACAGTATCTCTCAATTGAATCAGTAGACCGATGTATTTTCCAGTCCCGGATTAGTTATATTTACCAACATTGCGTTGTTTATTGTAGTCCCCAATGAATCAACTTCAAGCTCAAAATCTATCTCAAAATCCAAACACTTTTATATCCCTCAACTGAATCAACAGACCGATGTATTTTCCCGTCCCGGATTCGTTAGAGATACCGGTAAGCCAACATTGCGTTGTTTATTCTGCTATAACTTGGACTTTATGACCGCCGCATACAGGACTATTACTGCCATTGGCAGCTAGCTTCATGTCATAAACTCCAAAGTACATCGATGAAACTCTTGTCAAATCTTTCTGTCAGAGCTCAGGACTACATTCGTTGTGTATAAGTCATCAACCCACAATTATATTTTTAGGCCTATTCGTAGATCGTGATCGCTAATTATTGCTTTAAATTGGATCATAATTATTAACGGACACTTGCTCCACCAGCTCAAGGTAAGACAAGTTTGTTGTTATTTACCAAGACTTTATCCATAGGCCTACAATTTTATGATCCATACATAAGTCTCGCTCTTAAGTACATTTATTGACATTAAACATTATGACTAGTCTCTGAAACCTTGTTATGACGTGATAACTCCATAGCAACCACTCGACTCCATAACGCTTTAGTTTTGTACGATGGATTTATTTCATAAATTTAATCACTTTTGTAGTTTGGTTGGACGTGCCATAAAAATAATGAATACAAACCAACATAACTTCCACAAAAATGAGCGGATATATATAAAACACATAGAAAAATATATAGGCCTAGGCTATAAATAAAAAAATAATGGGATTGGGCGGCATATTAAATTACATGAATCATATGATTTATGAATGTCATACCGTTTTCAACTTTTGTTTTTTGATTTATTATTAGAATCAAACTAACAACACGTTAACTTTTTTTGTTAGGAATATGATGAAGTCGGGTAGTGGTGTGTGTGTGGAGCGTTCTATCTGATGGGTTCGGCTGTGGTTCGCATGAGAAGTAGTAAGTTTTTAAAGAAAACCCCTTGGTTCGTACACCCCTTTGTAACCCATTGTCGGAAAAGTTCGGGAAATTTCCATAATTAATCTTCTGAATGTAAATATAGATACTACTGGTCATAGGCCTGTAATCTGTTTTGTGTTAGAGGCCATATTAATTGAAAGTTTCAGTTGAGTTTTCTGTATGCCATTAAATCATCATCATTATTATTATTATTATTATTATTATTATTATTATTATTATTATTATTATTATTATTATTATTATTATTATTATTATTATTATTAATATTATTATTATTATTATTATTATTATTATAAATTGTAAAACAAAATGCACGAAAGACATATCCAAAGACTGTTAGCTATGTCACTTACCAAAAACAACAATTAAAAATGCAATCTTGATTACTTTTCAATTTTATTAGTCAATTGTCGAACCATGGAGGAATGAATGGTCGAACATGACAGCCGCACTAAAAAAAAAAAAAAAAAAAAAAAAAAAAAAAATAGGAATCAAACTAAAATGTAATAGCGCCCTCTACATGAACTATAAATAATGCACTGATTTCGTAAGGATCTTATTATAATTTATTAGAAATAAATGGATAAGATTTGTCATTTATTATAAGTAACATTTATAATAATGATTATTATTATTGTTATCATTATCATAGGCCTATACAGTATGTAGGTCTATGACCTCAACAAGTCCATGGTTGTGATAATGGCATCATCTTGCCAGATCACATTGCCGCAAAACTTGAGTGTGGGTAGAGCTTTTACACTCAGAGGCCATCCTATTCATCCTTGAACGTTACGTACGTAGGGACACCCTCGAATATTGCGTGCCGGTTTAGGCACTCTCGTACGCTGCGTGTGTATAGACAACCTCCAGTTACTCAGTATCAATGTTTGTAAAATCTCTGTGTACAAAACATCTCTGTGTAAAAACATTTACATATCGACGATAAAGCCACTCCATAATTGTCCTTAGCGCCGGCGCTTGACCTGTAGAGCTACGATTGCCGTCCAAATTGTTTAATAACTTGTATAGGCGTAGATCCCGGGGGGGGGGGGGGATGGGGGGATATATCCCCCCAATATTTGACAAGGGGATGGTCCATCCCCCCCCCCCCAAATTTTGACTATGTATGGGATAAAATGGAGCTTTACACACTTCAAAAGACTGTCACAGAAATAATTTGCACTGTCTTATGCGCTTACAACGATGAAAATTAGCATGTATTAATGTTGATAACAAAATTATTTTATCTGGTACCAATCTAAGCTCTCCTTCCCTTAGATGTTAGATGTGCTTGTGCTTGTGTTTTTAATGATAAAAACACAAACGTTTTCGGGCATCGCCCTTCATCAGGTGGTCACCAATCAGTAGATGCCTCAAAAAATTATATGAAGAATGTATTTTTAGGCTTTAATAGTAAAGCATATATTTTTGGAGGGCTTCAAATGGCTTCCTTATTGCTCACTATTTCAAATTAAAGAGCCATACTATCAACGGTGATTTAGGCTAGTTAATCTAGGCACCAATTTCAGATCTACTAAGGCTAGAAGATGTCCCGAATGTATCCGCCCAGTCCTTTAGCCTTAGTGCAGTAGATTTGAAATTAGTGACTAAGATTATAAAGCTTAAATCACTGATAGTATGGCTCGGTAAATTAAAGTGGTGAGCAAAAGGAAGCCCTTTTGGTGGTCTTAACTAATTTTTTTGTGGTTTACATTCGGTTTCGCCTACAATAATTACCATTATTACATTTAGTTCAAAATAGTTAAATCTGAGTTTACATTCGATTTTGCCTACATAATTGCTGTTTCTTACATTTTATTTCTAAATAGTAGCGTGCTGCGCGGCTTTTGTACGACGATGACGACAAAATTCAAATTCGGCATTCGGCAAACCGGGTTTCGGCCAACTGGAATTTCAATGTTTTCGGTGAACTGGATTCGGCACACTGGGTTTACGGCAAAGTGGGTTAAATTCGGCAAACTGGGTTTCGACAAACTGGATTTCGGCAACTGGGGTGATACCATCAAGGATAACGTTATTTTGATTGCCAATCCCTAATATTGTGGTCCAAAAGCACATTTTGCCATAATAGCCCTGTAAACCATACCAGAGATGTTATTTGTTACTCCAGGTATTCGACCGAGGCTTCGTCGCCTCTTGGTTCGGGCCCCTCTCCGTCGGACCATGGAGGTATATATACCTCCATGGTCGGACATGTCCGACCACTTGTCAGCAAATTTCTGGCGCCACCGCTGTTTGCTGGACACATGCAAGATTTAGCTTAGGCCCGAATAAAAATTGATCACTTTCCATAAGCATAACTATTTGGTCAGTTGGATGAAGTGTAACTACGCCTACAACACATGAGCGCAACCGCATAATGCATTTGGGAGCCATTGGTTAAAGTTTCAGTGCTCGAAATAAAACGCTTCGTCTTAATTTCACTGTTCCCTGGTCTTGTCTAACAAGCATAATAAACTTAGAGGATAATTATGCACATTCCCAGCGTGACCAGAGCGATGGGATTGCCGAAACCGTCTGTCCTTTGGCGTGTTCAAGCTTGTTTATACAGTATAGTCGGTCTATTTAATCCACAGGTGGCGATTTTAGCTGTTGCTTCTTGATTTGATTTTAAAATGAGGTGATAACGAAGAATGACTATTACTATTATTATTGAATTAATATTATGATTATTAATATAATGATAACAATTATAATAAAAAAAGTAGACATATCCTATACAGTATAGCCTATATTTTAATTGTTTTTCAAGTGCAATAATAAATTTAAATCTTATTGTCAATAATTCGCGCAGGCCTAGTACCGTCTCCAATAAGATCGGCTTTTTAGAATTATATTTGTACATTATCAGTTATTATTTATTATTATTATTATATTATTGTAACTATTATTATTTGGATTTGAATTTAATATGGTAGGCCTAAGCATGATCCCACTCCGTCATTACGCCTACACGTTCACTTAAAATAAATGTGTTTATCTATGGTTACTAGGTGAAGCACTCATTTGTGTTATCGAAATTAAAGAGGGTTCAATTGATATCGCAACAACAACTGTGTGTATTTTTTATCTTTAGGCAAGAGCTGTTAATTTTCATAGGTTACAAACCATTGAACCGAAAGAGCCCTATTTTTTAGATAACTTTTGTAAATCCTCCACCCTACAGCAAATCATAACACTGCCGCCTATAGTCTGGTAATTTATTAACGTTTCTCGATTACCACAGATCGACGATAATTTTACTTTACAGTGACAATACTGCACAGAGCGGATAACAACACCAATACCGCTCATACAAGCACAAAGTCACATGACCAATAAATACTACCGATAACCAATCACAAATCTGGTTTCTTTTCTAATCTAAGAAAATCTCTTCCAAAAAATTCCACAAATGTCTTGTTTTCTCATCTATGTTTCCAAAATAAGACGCGAGTAATTCTCTCCAATCACTGTCTCTTATACACATCTAGATGTGTATAAGAGACAGACACTGTTCATTCCTCCCTTTTCGTTGGCCTTATATCTATATTGTTTTGTGTATGACACTTGTTTCTTCCTTACCGGTATATATTTTCCAGTTGTGTTCTTTATCGTTCCAATTAACTAAACATTTATGACAAGCCAATTTCGAAGGGAATTTTAATTTCTATTTAGTTCGGTTATAATAAGCAGTAAGAAGAGCTGCGCATAGTATATACTGTATAGGAAAATTATTATACGAAGGTTAGATTTAATGCTTGAAAAAGTATTGGACGGTGGGGAATAGGCAAATAACATTGGGAGTTGCAGTGATGACGTCACTTATAATATATATTAGTTAATAAAAGTTATTATATTGTTTTATAAAGTAGGCCTATCTGAAAAACCACTGAGCAAAGTAAATACGCGGCGCCATAGCAACGCACGAAAAACGGCACACGATTTATTGCGCTAAAAGTTTGGTTTATTAATGTTGGCTACGTGATGTGAAATACGAGTAACATTTAGGCTTGCAGACACCCTCTGCTTGCAAGTCGGCATAAATAATATATATCGGCATTCCCTCAGTTTAGTGTTATTGATCAAACCAGTTTAATTATTTGCATTTAATAAATTGGTTAAGCAATCAATTGATTCTAGTAGAATAAGTCGTTAGCTCCGATTCGAACAGTGGTAGATTCAATACACACGTCAAACACAGACAAAAACGTCATATCACGCAATATTTTACCTTTGTCATTCTTATACACTGAATTAGACCTACAACATTCTAAAATCAATGAAGCACTCATGGTCCGCCCCCACCCCTAAATTTTTATGAATTGTAAAAAATTGAAAAAAGATAATTACATCATTCGAAGAGTGGCATTTCCGGCAATCTAGAGGTGACATAATCGTACATTTTCTTACCTCAGCCCCAACCATGGTGGGGTGAAGTAGTATAGACCCTCCATCTGTCAAATTCCCACTGGGCCCCCTCTATATCAAATTTCTGGATCCGCCACTGAAAATATAAATTGATTGATTGATTGATTGATTGAAGGTCGAGCATTCATTTTCCGTGTTACCGGTTAGTGGCAGAGATCAATGACGGGGGAATTCCCCCTCCCCTACCACCACTACGGAAATGCTTAGTATCGGACCTCGGTCAGTTGTCAGAAACTGAAATTTTACCAATTAAACCGGTGAAGCGGTCGAAAAAGAGCATGTTTATTTTTGCTGAGTTATTCGTTTATATAAAAAAGAATATTAAAATCCTCGCCACCGTTTGCTCAAATTTAGTTGTAATATATTGTTCAAAGTTGTTTAGAGACTCAAGTGTCAATAACATGAATAGTAATTTTTTTTTTTTAAGTCAGCCGTTGTTTATAGCATTTATTTTGTGACGTTTTAACGATATTAAGCATTGCAGATATAGGTAACAAAGCGGAAGCAGAAATTGAGCAAAGTGCATGCGAATCAGTCAAGCGTGACGCGATACGATAAGTCAGTGTGAACTTACTCTAGCCTTGCAGGGGGTGACGTTGATAGAGCTTGGTTAGCGCGAGTCGCATATGAAACATCTCTCCAGCGCCGAGAAGCTTAGCGTCGCCCTGTCCAACTTTTGAACCGTTCTTGTTCTGTTTCAGGAGTAGGGCTTGGACAGGAGAAACAGTTTAACAACATGGGTAGTTTGTATGAATTAAAGAAAGAGCTTCGAGAGAAAGATCGGCGCATAGAGGAACTAGAAAACATAGTAAAAGCAAAGGATGTTGAATTGGCCGAATTGCGTACGACCGTAGATAAATTTCAATCAGTGCTTCCCACAATAGGTCGCCCTGGATCTACTGTTTATACGAAGAAAAGAGCCGTAGGTATTTCCGCTGAACCTCAATCACTACAATCCGTTCAAGAAGCGGCACAAAAAGAATTCAAGAAGTATCCAAAGTCAAAGAGGTAAGTGTGATAAAACACCATTAAAAAAAAAAAAAAAATACAATCGATAAACATGATCGAGTGGTCATCTCCCAGCAATCATTAAGTATGAACTAGGTGCATTTTTAGTAGGCCTGCTACTGTTACTACTAAAGAAACTTACTGCTTACCTGAACTTTCGGATTAAAAAGGGAACATTTTAGTAAAGTTATTTTTTTAAATTAAAAACTTATAAAAGAATGTTTCAAGTTGCTGTCAAGCGCCTGTGTTCATTGACCTTGAGACTGATAGTAGAATGGAAGGATTAAATAAAGCAGGTGTGAGGAGGAGGTGTATCCGCTTAGCCGATGGGTGGTTGTCTTCCGAACGTCAGGGTCGTTGAATTGTTTGACGGCTTTAGTGACAGTCTATCATTTTACCTGACTGTCATCATCGGGACCTCATTCATTCATCACAAATGTTTTATGGGAAAACAAATTTTTACTTTACTCACTCATAGCATTAATTTCACATAAAAATAACAGAGGACAGTATAGTGTTAAAGACGTCAATGACCAGCTGCCAAAATTTCACATGATCTTGTGGTTTGGAGAACTATAGGCAATATTGTACTGTTACTCAATAAAAACAGCTCACTGATGAACTGTTATGGCTTCTCGGCCGCAGATCCAGGATTTAAAAGATGTGGGTTCAAAACGTTTCCAAAAAACCCCAAAATGAAACGGTGGTTGTCCTCCCCCAGGAAAATTTTGATTCCTAGATGGCCGGAAATGAGCTTTCCTGACTTTTTAATGACCTTTTAAGTTCTTCAAAATTCAAGGTTTTCCCCCTCTTGAAAAAAGGTCGGGTAATTTTATCTAATTTTTAAGGCCTATACATGGAGGAAAAAAATAAAAGACACAGGCAATATATTATTACTGTATATTCCAACAACATTGAGTAGTTAGATAGGTGTTCTTTCTTCCATGGATAGATGAACCGATATGCCTGACGAACGCACTTTCGTACATAAGTTATTACGACGGTGAACCAAAAACAGTGTGTATAATTTATTGAAAACTAGTTGGGCTGAGCCTAGTTTGTCTGATCCACCAACCTATGCCTAGGTAGATTAGCATGCCTTTTGTAAGCCACGATCCAGTTGTATTTTGTTACGTTACTTCACAGAGGAGGGTTCGTCCGAACCCCTGGATCCGCCATTGCTACTTATTCCCTGGATGAACACAGCAACCCTGCCAGGCTGCCAATAACAACTATAAATTTGAAAAGCTTATATTTCTGGGATATGCATGGGAATGCAGGCTAGTTTCTGCCTGGGGAGAGGGTGAGAAAGTTGTGAATAAAAACTCTGGTAATTTTTATTTTTACAATGCACTTTCCAATTTATATATATGCAAAGGGCCATGGTGGTGCTTACAAGGTCTGGGGTAGTCTGTCAGTAAAGAAGAGTTTTAGTACTGTTGGTTACGTTTGTTCATATCAATGTCTGAGAACAATGATGCACACATGAAGCTTTAGCATGCCAACTTCCTAATTTTGTCATAGTCACAATTTTTTTGTTGTAAATAATAAGCCCTGTCCAGACTATCAAATTTAATTTGACAAAAACATGTGACATGCCTAAATATGGTCATGATGACATCACATCATGACCATATATGGGCACATCATCACTATACATGGGCATGCAACAGTTTTTTGTCAAAGAAAATTTGATAATCTGACCAGAGTTTAAGAATCGGTGAATCATTATTTTTTATCAATATTTAAACTTTCCAATGGTCAATCTCATTGTGAATCTGAGACTTGACACCAACGGCCTCAATTGACCTTTGACTCATCATTGCCATGTAATGTCCCTGTTTGCATAAGACCCAACAGTACTATCAAAGCCAGGTGGTATTTACATGGGATGAGTAATTTGATTTTTTGAAATTAGTGAATGTATTTCCCGCAACACAGTTTTTCCAGTTTGTTGTATCCTTTGCTACTGTATGTTGATATCTAGATATAGTTTTTCTGTTGATTATTTTCTTTTAAATGAAGGCCTACTTTACTGTTATTTAGTCTCAGACATTATAATGAGTTATATTTAGATGATTGCTGTGATCTGTTTTCAATGCATTTAACAAACTAATCAAAGTGAGGTATAGTACAGCAAAATAGAAAAGTATAGCAAACTTGTTTCCAGACTTTGATTATTATTAGTAATTATTATTATGGGCTATTAAAGAGTTGCAGATAAAGAAAAGAAGAGATACTACAAGAGGCAACAAAGACAAATAAGAGACAAAATTCAAGATGCAAAGCAAAGCTTATCAAATTCTCATTAACAATAAACTGTTGTGTTTTATATGTCCATGTTTAGTCATGAAGTGCCTATATATGGTCATGTTATGATGTCATCATGACCATATTTAGGCATGTCACATGTTTTTGCCAAATAAAATTTGATAGTGTGGACAGGGCTTATGGTGGTAATGCTATGTCAAGAGACAGGAAAAACTGTATAATCAGTAATCAGATGGATTTCAGAAACAGTAGAAACCAGTAGAAGACTTAGAGGGAGACTAAGAAGGTGATGGATATGAATGGACTTCCTTAGCAAGATGATAAAGTGTCAGACCTAGAAGCAGTAGATGCAGTGAAACATGGTACCGCCACGTCAAGAGACAGGAAAATTATACTGTATAATCAGTTATCAGAAACGGCAGAAACTGGTAAAAGATTTAGAGGGAAACTGAGAAGGAGATGAATGGACTGTGCTTAGCAAGATGCGAGAGTGCTAGACCTGGAGGCGGTAGTAGATTGCTTAAGATGAGGAGGATGATAATAAAGATACCATACTCCGGATTGGTAATGATGATTAATAATAATGTCTGAGGTACCTTTTATTGAGGTGAATAAGACATGGATTGTGCACATCCTGGAGGCCTCATATTGTCACGAATTAGGAAATAGACATTTTGGTAAAACGAGTCTTTTTTTTAATACCTTGTTTCGTGAACTTATTTTTTTAAAGATCATCAGAGGAGGGCAGAAAAAAAATAAATATAAAGTTTTGTTTTCTTATTTAGCAAATAGTTTTTCCAAAAACATCCAGACGGAGGAGAAAATAAAAATAAAATTTTATTGGTGAATGTAAAGAGTGTGTAGTAATGAGATAGTTAAAAGCTTTAAAGTATAATTAGGAAGAAATATACATTTTTTATTTTTGGAGATTTCAAGGCAGCTGTGGGCGTAATAAAAATAAAGAAAAACTTTTATTTTTATTCTGAAATTTCCATTTTTTTGTAACGACGGGTGCAATAATTGGCAAAAAATAAAATATTATTTTCATTTGAAATCATCATTATTCTTGTGCAACGGTTTCGCTCAAGGTATAAACAAGTCAAACAAACAGAAACCAACACTATACTGTACAGGTGAATCTTTGTGGGAATATTTCTAAGGCATTTTTTTTATCAATCTTGCTTTTTAAATAACATGTTTTGATGCGTTGTGAAGGAGTACTTATTATGCAAACTAATAATCTTTAAATGCAAGTTAATAATTTTGTCATCTTCTGTTCACATATTGTAAATAAAATATATATTTTCTATAGGATTCCATAGTTTTCTATATAAGATATAGATGAAAAAAACACGAGGAAAAGACAACTATAAATTAGCGTATGATACAGTAGAGTATATTAATTTGTACTGCTACAAAATAATGAACAAAATTGATGATCCCTAATGACGGTATATGAAACTGAAGTGATTGTTAAATCCTGTTGAATAAAGTTGATTAACTTCAGATATGCTACTTATCATATCACATAGATCATGTAATGAATTTTGTGGGATTTGCCCATTCAGGCATATTCATCGGCATGGCCACAGCGTGGTAGTTGATCACTGCTGCCTCATTAGCCTCTAACGAAGCATTTAGAGTGCTGTAATTTTGAGCTTCCTTTTGCAATAGAATAATCAATTGAGCATGACTGAGAGGTGAAGATCACAGCATTCTGCAGTCTGTGGCTTCACCATTACCTTCCAACTGTTTACCATTATCGTTAATATATTGACATCATTTAAGAATAAATAACAGTTTTCATCACTGATACCTCTAAATATAAATGTAGTTTGATAGGAGTTCACATCTTAAGGGACATTCAGGCCAGTTATAAGAAGTCCTAAGTGCAAAATAGCAGGATGACACGATAAACAATGTGGTACGACTACATTCAGCAACATCAGAGCATAACAAATGTGGTTGGACACTTCAGCTTTGTGTATTGTTGCATTAGTTGAGTACCTCTTCATTTCTCATTCAGCATATTGAGGCTTTTGCATGGTATGAATGCAATGGTGTTCATAGTAGAGGTCACCCACAAGGCAATGTACAGTAAACTCATGTTGGTGTGAACATGTCTTTATGTTACCCCAAAACATCAAATTGGTGTAACTACATTGGTTTAATGTGTCCACACAAAGCAGCTCATAACCACTGGTGGTGTGGGGAACATTGCTTATTCTCAATCTGACAGGCCAAACACCTTCAGTCTTGACACACTCCTCAACCTGTCTCTTATACACATCTAGATGTGCACTTAAATGATAAACACAACATACTCGATATAATTATACCCAAACTTCGTAGGTGACAGCTTGCTGGACCGAGCATATACTGGGCAATCAGGCTTATAATACATAAAATAAGGAGAAACCCATTACTGTAGGATTACTAAATTCTATTCATTTGCCATTTTTATGAATTATGTTGATTGTACTACAGTACCTGTAATTCCAATGATTTGTTATGTATTGTAATGCAGAGCGGAGCCTATTGGTTGCAAATGCACAGGTTTGTGTTTCATTGAATGCATCACACTGCCATTGTGTTTCGTCATTCATTCCTAGTCCCATTCAACAGAATTTACTATATGTTGTCCTTTTGTAATTCAATTCATTGCTTATTTGGTACCAACATGATATTAACAGATAGTGCAAAATTACATTTAACAACATTGATAGCAAGTGTACAGTAATTTAAGATGGTTTGTGCATTAAAG